GGCGGAGACGTCGGCACACCTTGACGAGTTTGCCCGCAGCGGCCTGCGCACCCTCTGCTACGCCTATCGCGATATTGCCCACGACGAATACGAGGACTGGGCTCACCGCTTCCTCGAGGCAAACGTGGTGCGTTATTTGGGGGGGGGGCTATGTGTGTCGCGTGCGTGTATATTTGTGACTGTGAGAGTGTGCGTGCGCGCTTGTATGCGCGTGTGTGTGTGTCGCGTGTATATTTGCGACTGTGTGTGTGTGCGTGCGCGCTTGTATGTGTGCGTGTGTGTGTGTCTGTGTGTGTGTGTGTCTGTGTGTGTCTGTGTGTGTCTGTATTTGTGACTCACGTGCGAATGCATTTGTGTGTACGTGTGTATTTTGACCTCTTGGCAGCTGCTGGGTGAGGAGCGCAAGCAGCGACGCGTTGAGCTGTAAGTCGCCACTCGCCTGATGATTCGATGCGAACATAATGCGGGCACAATCAATGCCCACTATACATGCATGGATGATCTTCGTTCCCACCATGTCACACCACCACCACCACCATCATCATCATCATCATCATCCATCAGGTTTCAGGAGCTTGAGCAGAATATGATTCTCGTCGGGGCAACGGGAATTGAGGACAAGCTGCAGGACGGCGTTCCCGAGGCAATTGCCGATCTCAGACACGCTGGACTCAAGGTATGTGTGTGTGTGTGTGCCTGCGCCTCTTTGACCTGCGCCTCTTTGACCTGCGTGCGCTGTTCATGTTCGTGGCTGCTTGGCCATGTAGTGTGACTGTTGTGACTGTTGTCTCACTTCTCCGCCTCGCTTCCCCCTCAATTTCCTTCCTTGCCTGCTGCCTTCCCTCTTCCTTGCTGCAGGTGTGGGTGCTGACTGGCGACAAGCAGGAGACGGCGATTGAGATTGCAATGACGTGTCGCCTCATTACCCGCCGCATGCACACCATCATCCTCAACTCGGAGTACGCCCGCCTCCACTACGACAAGGGCAAGACCATCGCTACCGTCGCACACCACCGCGCCGCGCGCAGAGAGGTAGACATATACACGCACGCACATGCACGCCCACACATGCACATGCACGCCCACACACACACACACACACACACACACACACACACACACACACACACACACACACACACACACACACACACACACACACACACACATGCACACACACACACATGCACATGCACACACCCCTTCCGTTCTGCTGTTGCTGAGCGCTCGGTGTGCTCAGCAGTCGGGACAGTGAGGTTGCTGTGTCGGTGATGTGACTGTTGACTAAAGCCTTCGTTGCTTGCACCTCCCCTTGTAGTGTTGCTCACTGCACATGCGTACATTGCGCGTCGCATTGTTTGTCTTGGTTGCAGGTGCTTGACATCATCAACCAGCATCTCCAAGACATCGAGCAGGCCCAGCAGGGCGATCGCGTAGGAGCACATGCGTGTTTGCGTGTTTGCGTGTTTGCGTGTTTGTGTTTATGTGCGTTTATGTGTGCATGTGTGTGTGTTTATGTTTGTGTGTGTTTATGTGTGTGAACCGTCCATTCTCCAGGTTATTCCTTCACGTTCGCGCACTAATGCATTCCCGCTCACACCCACACAACACACACACACCGCATCCACAGCGGGAGCTTGCGCTTGTGATTGACGGGCCAACGCTCTTCTACGCCGTGCAGGAGGCGGACGACGTCAAACACCAGTTCCTCAGACTCGCGGAGCAGACAAAGGTGTGTGCGTGTGTGTCTGTGTGTGTGTGTGTGTCTGTGTCTGTGTGTATGTCTGTCTTGTCTGATCTGAGAGTGATCTTCACAGCCCTTCAAACCCCTCATGTCAAACCTCTCGTGCGCTCACGCCTCCACCGCCGGCTGCCTCACCTGTTCTTCGGTTCGTGCGCCGCGCAGGTTGTCGTTGCGTGCCGAACAACACCGCTGCAGAAGGCGCAAGTGGTGGGACTCGTCAAGGACAACCGCGACGCCATGACGCTTGCAATCGGTGCGGTGCCGTCCTGTGTTGTGCGATGCTGTGCTGTGTTGTCATGTTGGGTGGTTGGAGTGAAGGCGCGTGTTTGTTTTTCTCGACTGGTGTTTGTTGCAACTTGTCACTCGCATCACTCTCCTCCACTCCACACATGAGACTCATGTTCCATATCCACGCCACTGCTCACACCGCCACCACCACCCATGCGCCACCACCTCAACTGTCATCGCTGTGCTGGTCAGGCGACGGCGCGAATGACGTGAGCATGATCCAGATGGCACACGTCGGCGTTGGCATTTCGGGCCAGGAGGGCATGCAAGCCGTGAGTACACACATACACACACACGCACACACACGCGCGCGCGCACACACACACACACACTACCACATGCATGCGCTGCTATTGGGTTTCTGTTGCTGTGCTGTTGATTGGTTGAGCATGTGGTGGATGCATTGTGCATATGTTTCACGTTGTGTGATGTCATTCTTTACTTTGTTTTGGATTTTGCCTTGGCGCA